CGTCCCGCGGGAGACGCCGCTGCTGGCCCGGGTGAGGAGCAGCCCCGACACCGGCCTCCCCCCTTCCCTGCTTTGCCCTCCTTCCTCCCTTTCCTTCCTCCCTTTCCTTGCTTTCTTTCCTTCCTTTCTTGGGGGCCACCCGCGTGTCGGCGCCTTCGCACGTTCTCCGCCGACCCGGGACGAGGGAGCGGGAGGGGCTCCGCTCGGGAGACTCCCCCCACTCCGCCCCCACACACCTTCCTCGCCTTGCCCTTCGGGGTCCGGGGTGGTGGACCCGAGAGGAGAGACAGGGGTGCACCCCCGTGTCAGCCGGAGGAGGAGGAGGAGGAGAGGCTCCGTCGAGGGTTTGCCCGGGCGGCCCCTGAAGCCCTGGCTCTGGGGGTCGGGGTGCGGGTGGATCTCTGTGTGGGCCTGAAGCTTGCACCCTTTGCAGCCTCTCCACACACACACACCCGGGCAGGGAGAGGAGAAGAGCAGGGAAGTTTGGCTTGGACTTGGAAAAGAGGAGCTGAAGGATGCCTGTTGCACTTCTTGGGGGGGGGTTGGCTCCAGGAGGGACGCCCGGGGGGGGGTTGCGCCTTGGGGCGAAGGGTTGGCCCCCCTCCTCCTCCTGCCCGCAGGACCCACCGGGTGGGGTCCGGCTCTCCTTCCCCTCCTCCTGGGAGGCATCAGAGGGAGGGCAGGAGGGAGAGAGGCGTGGGAGGCCCAGTCCTCCCCAAAGGAAGAGGAGGAGGAGGAGAGGGAGAGGGTGGCTGGGGTGCCCCGAGCTGGGGAGCTGGCCTTCGGGGTGCCTGCGGTTTCTCTGGGCTCCCCCACCCGCCACCCACGAAGCTCCCTCCTTCCTGGGACCGGCCAGCCTGGGATGAATGGGCCAGGCTCTCCGCCTGCCTGTGCTCCTCCGAAGGGCCCTGCAGGATGTAAATAAAGAGCCTGCCAAGGACGAGGGTGGAGGCGGACCGGACGCCTATTCTTAGCCAGGATTCCTGGACTTGCTGGGATGGGATACTAGCAGGCAAGCGAGGACGGGGGGGGGGGGGGCAGGAAAAAGCAGATTTGGAAATCCATCCCAGGTGGAGAAGATGCTCTGGAACATCATTTCCCCCACCCTGGGGACCTTGTTAAAATTCCCCAGTGGGGGTTTGTGGTTTTACTCCGATGCGGCAAAAGCAACTGAGATTCTTGTGACGCCTTCAAGGCAAACCTGTTTTGTTTGGTGCCCGGTTTTTGCAGACCACAGTCCGCTTTGTTCAGACCACGGAACGTTGTGCCAAAGAAGACACCCTTAGCCAGAAATCCTGTGCCCGTCTGTGCTGTACGTAGAGACCGGTTGCACTCTGGACATCTGAAGAATCGGATTACTGTATGGTCCAGAGAAACTTCCTCCTTAGAGGTCCCACGCAAGGGTGGGTGGGTGGGTCGTTTGGTTATCCAGGCCAGATGAAACCAGCTGATCTTTAAGGGCCCACCGGACTGTTGGTTGTTCAGACCTTGAGCATGGGGGGGGGGTTCGTGTGAGGTGCGGAGTGCCTAGGAAGCGCCTGCCTGTGGCTCTGACTGGCCTCTGACTCTTTCTCAAACGCCTCCTGCCTGGCCATCTGGCTGTTTCTCGTAGCTTTTAAAGTGGTGCATTGCCATGTTACACAGAGCTCCTGGGAAGCTGAGATGTGTCTTCTCCTGCAAGAACCGCTACTGTGTTACCTGCTTGAAAATAGAAGGGTGATGCCCTAGGAGGTCAGGGAAGCTTTTTAGAAATAGAACAATGCCCCCACCCCCAAATCCCACACGTCAAGTAGAAGCATCCCTTGCAAATGGCAATATCGTTTGGCTTCTGGGCTTGCACATGCTTTCGGGGAAGAAAAGGCCCTCACCATTTTCCTTTTTCTGCATTCATCCTCCAGCCTTCTGTTTCCCTGTGTGTGCATTTATGCCATTTTGTTATTGTTGCCTCTGCTGTTTATCCCTCCCGCCCATGTTTCTTTCTGCTTTTTACAGTGCTGGGTTCAAAGGAGGATTGCCCCTTTTCGGTGAAGTGTGAGGCTGCTGGATTTGATTTCAAGCATAAGACGCCCAACTCCCCTCACCCTCCTGGCTCCATGGGTTGTTGGCTCAGCTGGGCTGAGTTTGGGCTTGGAACAGTGGCTTCATGGGGGAGATGGGGAATGGCAAAGGGTTGGCCCACAAGGGACTGTGATATTGCGTACTGTGGTAGAGAACATCCCTGCTGTTCTTATCTTTTCTGGGTGACGTGGCTCTTAAGGTTACTTAACTGAGCTACAGACAAAGACTCTTATTGGTGTATTACTTTTATATTGCTCTGCTCCGTTCCTCCTAGGAACTCAGTATGTGGCTGTCGTCCCCACTGTGTCCTGCCCTATGGACTGTGAGATACCTCAGTCCAGAAGACTATACCACAGGCTGAGGGTCACCCATTGAATTTCATGTCTGAGTGAGGACTTGAACCCAGGTCTCCCTTGTCCCAGACCAACATTAGCTACAAATCCCTACTCGTTTCTCAGTCCCCACTCACTGGGTGACCTTGGGCCGGGGATCTTCTCTTTCTCGGCCCAAATGATCTTACAGGGTGGCTATGAGGATATAGGGCTAGGGTTAAGGAATGGACTGCATAACATGGAAAAAGCCTGTTTAGAAAACAGAGGGACCTGCTGCCCAGGTGGAGAGAGGCCTTGTCAGACAGTAACAACTGACCACATCTGTGTGATTACATTGGCAGTGGAGTCAGACAGGGAGGGGGAAAAGACATTTATGGGTGTCCGGGCTTGAGGTGGGGGGCAGAGGAAAATGGAGCCACTGGTCCACAAGGCCAGGCTGCTGGTGCATCTCTGGCTTTCTCTTGTCTGTTCTGCAGGGTTCTAGGGCTAAAAAATAACTTCCTATCGCCTGCCCAATCCTTTTTAAAAAATCCAAGTCTGGGATTGGACTGGGGTCTGATGTTTTTAAAGCATACACTGTACCGATGGTGTGTGGCTACTTGGTGCCTCTAGCAGGAGGCGAACGCTTTGGATGCCTCGGGTTTGCATGCTTCCTTTTTCCACGAGAGCTGTTGTGCCCTGTTGAGATATGTATATTTTCCCTCTTGGCACGTAATTGGTGGTTGAAGAGACTTGTTGAAAAAAAAGCGCTGTCTCTTCCTTGGGGGTGAAATGGACGAGAGGGTGATGCAAGTGCCATATGCCGTAAATCCTGCAGAGATGAAGAGCTACTTCTAAATAATCCTATTAAGCTCTGAGTGAAATCTAGCTGTCACTTCGCAGCTGGGGGCAGCTCCCTCCTGCTAGAGACCATTTTATCACTCCGCTGAAGAATCGGGTTTGGTCTTTTAGAAGCCTTTTGAAACACAGGAACGTTGAAGCCTTTTTTTGTTGGATGTTTAGTCAAGCAAGAGGGTGACATCCAGACCTGCCTTTTCTGACATGGCCCAAGGTTGTAAGACTTAAAGAGGAACTGCCGTGACTCCCTCAAGGGGAGAAGTTCCACAGGACTTAGAAGGGCCCCTTCTGCCTCCCTGCCATACCCCGTGTCTTTTCTGCTGCAAAAGGACCAGTCCTGACTTTGAAAGAAATTACCCCCCCCAACTGGCCTCAAACATGCAGGGAGGGGGTGAGGCTTGCTGCAAAATGACCATCAGCGCCCTTCAGGGTTGGTCTGCTTAACACATGAGAATTACAGCTGGGAAGATGTCAGGAGGGGTGTTGTGGGGGGGGGAGACGTTCTGTGCCCACACCTGCCCTAGAGTGAGTAGACTTTGCTGTCCCTCTCCAGCTGGTAGCGCCTCCCACCTGATTTGGCTTTCTAATAATGCTTGTTCCTGTCTCCAGCTTTTCTAACATTAAGATCTTTTCTCTATTCCTTGAGCAGCTCTTGATTCCAAAGAGAAATTCAGCGGGTCGCTGCCCTTTCGGTTTGATAGTATACTTTATCGTCCTTGACATCCCTACAATAGGAAGAGGGAAGATTAAACGAGATAACTGTTTGCTCGCTCGTCCTGCCTCCCTTCAGATGAGTTCCTCTTGATCTTGTGAGAGGACTGGTGCACTTGAGAGGCAAAGCCAGCAAGCTGGAAGGAGCTGCCAGCGGCTCAGTAATTGGTTGGGAGCGCCCGCTGCTTCCTTCCTTCTGATGGGATTCCCTGTGGAGATAGATCAGGCAGGTGACCGGGGCCCTCCAGATGTCCTTTGAGCAGGGGACTTGTAACAGGCAGTGGCGCTTGTAATTGACGAGAGAAAAGTGACTGTGGAGAGGGAGTTGTGAAAGAGACACAGTCGGAGGCGCTTTTCTCTCTCACTCTACCTGCCAAAGGTGATAAAAGGCCAGGCTTGCAGGTTAGGGAAACATAAGGCCCCCCATGGGAGCCGAGCAGGGGGAGGCTTAGGAATCCGTGCCGTGGCCAGGAGTTGTGTTGGGCTTGGGTGGGTGGCTGGGTGGGGGATGCCCGTGTCTTCCTGAGGGTCTTTATGGCTGAGCCCTTTTCTGGCATATCCTGGAATCTGTCAGTCCTCTTGGTTCTCCTGTCAAGACGGGTGCTGTGCTTTGCTCCCAGCAGGGAAAGAGCAGTTAAGGCCAAAGGGGCTGCTCCTCTCTGACTCTGTGAGACTGTCTTCCTCTGGTGATGGGCTCTTTGCGCTTGAGTGCCCAGGCTGTGTTTGAGCGTGTCCGCCTGATGTGGACTCTTGCTTTTGTGTGTGGGGTGTGTGTGTGTGTGTCAGGGATCCTGCTCCCCCCCTTCTTTTTAGTTCTTTTCTATTTATGGTCTTCAGATTTAGAGGAGAAAGAGGAGAGAGACTGGCATTGAGGAGTGGGGGCAGGGAGGCGATATCTCTGTTTCTGGATGACCCAAAGCAAGGAAGGTTTGCACCCCTGAGGAGGAAGCCTCCTCACACAAGAGGAACGCAGGGGTTTTTGGAAGGCCCTCTCACCAGGGGTAGCCTTGCTTGTGCCAGGTTCTGCCAGAGGCACAATGCCCGACGTGCATGGCCGGGGCCACAGCAGAGGGAAGATCTGTCTTCCTCCTTCATTTGGAGATCTCTGGCTAATTCCACCTGCTCCGCCGGCCAGATTTGGTTGCTGAGGGAGGGAGCTTTTCTTTGGTGTGTGTGTGTGTGTGTGGACTGGGCTTTTTCTCCTCTGGCCCATTCCTTTTCATAGAGTTTCAGCAGGGAGTGAGGGGTGCAACCGGGGAGAACCAGACTGGACCTAATGGTGATTGTGGCCTGGGGGCAGCTTGAGAAACTGTTGCATCTTCCACTGGTGTGTTGTGTTCAGCAGGTTGAGTCAACGCCGTTTCCCTTCCGCTTTGCAGATTTCTCTGTTCACCTCCAAGAACTTGGAAGGCAAAAGCCCCGACGGCCCCATGCTGAGTAAAGCCGAGTTTGTGGAGAAGGTTCGCCGGAGCAACCAGGCTTGCCACGAGGGCGACTTCCACGGGGCCATCGTGCTCTATGGCGAGGCCCTGGCTGTCGACCCACAAAACTGCATCCTGTACAGCAACCGCTCCGCAGTGTACATCAAGACCCAGCAGTATGAGAAAGCCCTGGACGATGCCATCCAAGCCCGTCTGCTGAATCCCAAGTGGCCCAAGGTAGGAAGCAGCGCAGATTCCTTGCCTGCTTGGGTGTGTGTGTGTATGTGTGTGAACAGGCTGTTCTTTCTCTCCCCCCCTCCCTGCCCTGGCTGGTGAAAGCAAGGGAGTGCTGCTGGAGGAATGGAGCTGCCCTGCTCCTCCCTCAGCCCCTGCAGTGTTTTTGGGAATGAGGAGATGGCTTTCCCCACCTAGCAGAGGAGGAGCAACCTCTTGGCTGTGGCTGAGGAGCCTGGATGTGTGCACGGCAGGGTGAGGTGAGAAGGAGAGGGGGTGGGTTTGGGGTTCTCTCAAAACCACCAGGATGCTCTGTTTTGTCCTTGAAGATCCTCACAGCCTCCACTTCCTTCCTTCCTCTAAAGAGGTTGTGTGTGATGGAGAGGATAGATAATCATCTTAAGAAAGAGGGAAAGCATGGGGTTGGTGGTGGGGAGAGTCCAGTCAGGACATAGCTCCCAAATGTGATCCCTGAAATAAAATAGTCTTGCTGTACCCCTTGAGGTCCCAGGGGTTCGTCCTGAAGGACCGCCACTGTGTCGGGGGTGGGGGGGCAGGGAAGGCCTGTAAGGGGGTGTTCACAAGCTGGCTGTGCCTTGATTTGCCTTGGTGGGAGAGTGCTGGACGGATAGCTCAGCGTTTCAGGTCTCTGTCTGCAGAGCCAGAGGTTGGGAGTTTGAATCCCCCCCATGGTGACTCCTAGGAGAAGAGCCGGTCTATGTAGCCTTGGGCAGGCTGCAGGGCATCTCCGGAAGAAGGGGATGGGAAACCACTTCCAAATACTCTCTTCCTGGAAAACTGTGTGTGTGTGTGGGGAAAGGTTTGCCAGAAGCCAGAATGGTTTCCATAACGATTGTGAAGCTTTCTGGTCCCCTTGTTACTCATGAGGCCTGCCATGCCGTCCCCTACAGCCCAAGCTTGCCATGGATTATCCACCTGAGATCTTCTGGACTTAGCTTAGTAGGAATCCCTGGCTTTTGGGTAGAGGTAGCTTAGGGCACTCAGTGTTTCCTCTCATCTCTTGTCACTTTTTCATGTCTTTTAAGTGGAGTGTAGATGACAAATATAATAACAGAATGCCTGTAAACATGTAGACTTCTCCTATAAGGAGAAATTGGGCTTTTTGTTTCTATCATGACCCCAAGTCTTCGATGGAATGATTGGTGGAACGTAAGAGATCAAAAGTGGAGAATTGTGGATCTATAAGTTGTGTCTGTAGGTGGACATTTTGTCTCTCTTTCTCACTCTCTCTTTCTCTCAGTTAAGCTGCCTTATTGTCCACAATGTGGAGTCTTGGACCAGAGCCCCTGCTTCGGAACATGTGTTACTCTTTATGCCTGTCTCTGCGTTGGGGGTGTTCTCAGGAAGAGTGTCAGCAAGGAATTTGCCTCTTCTCCCGAGAACACAGCCTTTGCAGTCATGGGCCACATCCAGAAAAGAGCCATAACGCAGAGCTGAGACGCTGCTCTTGCACAGCGAGCTGGGAGCCACATTTTACCTGTGACTCCTCCTTGCCTCTAGTAAAGCAGTTTTCAAGTAATTGTGACCTCCCTCTGCTCCCTTGGCAGGGCCAGAGAAGAGTGGGCGGGTTCTTTTACGAGCCAGTTCTTAAAATAGTTCCTTCCTTCCGTCTGTCCGTCTCGCCCGCCTACCTACCTGCCCATTCATCCGTCCTTTAATTGCCTGTCTCCTTAGTAGTACTGTAGTTTCCTTAGCACCGTTTTCTTGTCCAGTGTTTTTATTTTTAATTTGCTCTGAAGGTCCTCCTCGCCTCTTTTTCTTCACAAGGAAAGGGGCAGATCAGCTCCCGGCCCTTTCCTTTCCCCATCTGCCAGGTCAGGAGGAGCTAAATAAAGACACAGGCTGGCAGAAGACAGAGCAATATGTTAAGAGCCTCTACAAGCCGAGGAGACCCTTCAGCTGCTGGTGGAGATGAGGCGGTCCCTGTGGCTTTGCTTTCCCCCAGCCTCCCTTTCTCTGGGTCACCCTGTGGCTAATGGCAGGCGAGCCTCTTGAGCCGAGGGCTTCCTTGAATTGGGTTTGTCCCCGACCTCTGAGGGCCAGCAGGCAGAGAAGCTTCCAGGCTGTTCTGCTGCTCAGCCGTCTGGGGAGTGCGGTGGTGGGGAGCAAAGGCCATCCAAAGCTGCTGCTGCTTCTTCTTCTTCTTCTTCTTCTTCTTCTTCTTCTTCTTCTTCTTCTCCTTTTTGTTTTTATTCTTGATGGCTCAGAAGAAAGTGCCCATTTTCCCATAAATGTTTGTGTCTGAGGCTGCTGGTGCTTTCATCTCCATGGCAACTTGGTGGTGTTTTTACTCCACTGCCTCTGGTGAGATGAAGGTTATTAATCCACTGTAAGCGGGAACTGTGAACCGTGGATCCATCCAGTCCAGTCCGGGAGGTGCCCCTTTGGCCTCCTCAGGCATGTGCTGCTCAAAACCCCCTGCATATTTAATCTCTCTCTCTCTCTGTGTGTGTGTGTGTGTGTGTGTGTTGAGGGGGGAGCAGGGAACGAAGCTTGTTCCTTTGCCCCTTCCTCTTGTACTGTTGTTGTCACTGTGACTGAAGAGAGTGCCAAGACGCAGGGACAGGAACTGATTAGCGGCGTAATGGATTCTGCAGCCCAATCTAATCGCGCCCCCGAGCTTTTGTCAGTCTAACGGCAAGTCTGTCGGCTGCATTATCCTCATCGCTGGTGTCTGATAAAGCCACTCGCTTTTGTTCAAAGCGTTGAGGTTCTCTGTTGCTCTCATCCCTTTACAAGCAGCCCCTGTGAACTTGGCACCGATTGACACTCAGTATGGGATAAGAGGTGGGGGGCTGTGGAATGCCACATGGATTAACACTTTTTTCTTCTACAGATGGTGGGGTGTGTGTGTGTGTGGGGGGTATCGTGCGGTTCTTCTAACCTGAACGGTCCTTCAAAAACTGTTCCCTGCAAGGGTCTGTCTTTTTCTCTGCAGGTGCCATCCGTCTCCTAGGGTGGCTCCATGTCTCCCCCTACAGAGGACAGTTCTCTATGCGAAGAGCGACTGTGCCAGGCAGCAGTCCTCTTTTAGAAGGCGCTGTTCGTTTTCAGGTCTTCCCAGCTCAAGTCTGACTTAAAGGTAGAGAGCCACAGGGAGGAACCCGCCCTTAGGTTTAAATGGCAAAAACTCTTTCTAATTTCGGGTGCACCTGCCCTTCATATAGCTTTAAATACAAACCGTTTAGTTCTCTTCTGGAATCCCATGAATCTCCTAGTGACGAACCCTTTCCAGCTCTCATGGAATTGCCAGATAGAAATGTCACTCCCTGGAATGCTGTGGAAAGGCCCAGCTTTCCAGGAAAATAAGGGACACTTGGTACGTCGCTGAAGCATGTTTTCATGCAAAAAGACCTGCCTATGATTTATTTTTTAAAAAAAAGAAGTATAAGGTTACAGCTTTAGGGAGAAGCTGGGCTTGAAGTCACTGAAGCATGTTTTCATGCAAAAAGACCTGACTATGATTAATTTTTTAAAAAAAAGGAAGTATAAGGTTACAGCTTTGGGGAGAAGCAGGGCTTGAAGCTAGAGAGCATCGTCATCATCATCATCATCATCATCTCTCTCTCTCTCTCTGTGCATAGCACCAAGTGGTCTCTGCAGAAACCAGGCTGGTTGAGGGATTTGCCTCCCTGCCTGCAGGGCTTTGGCGTTTTCCGAAATCTCTCGGCTCTTACGTCTGGGCTTCAATTTCCTTTTTTTCTTCCTTGGGTAATCTTTTCATTTTACACATTTTATGTGCGTAAGGAATGGGGCCATTTCCTTTTTTTTTTTTTTGTATTTACGGGCTGTTTTAATGGGGAAAAGATGTGCTCCTTCCATGGCAGCTCAGCGAAGATTTCATTCCTGAGAGCCTCTCTCTGCGGAGCGTCTTGTCCCTGCGGCCCTTGCCGTCTCTGATTGCGAGCGAGCGAGAGAGGTGCCAAAGAGGCTGGGCTTCTCCGGCTGCCCCCATTTCAGCAATGTTTCTTCTGCATCGCCTCGGACCTCCTGCCTTGTGTTTGTTGTGAAGGCCCTTCCTTCGCATGCATGCAGGGGTTGCGTGACGTTGTCGTTGCTCCAGCAGTTCAGAGGGCAATCCCTCCGCAGACCGAGAAGATCGTTTCCCTTAATGGAGTATTTGTAAGCTTCCATTTTGTTTCCTAAGCCATTTGGTTCTCCGATTTGCCTGCTTCCTGTTCACCAGTCAAGGGAGTTCAGGCGACAAGTTCAGCAAGGGTGCCGGACGCATTCCACTGCATTTTCCCTTTCGTGGCAAAAACAACCCCTTGGAACTCCAACTCGGTTTTTGTTAGCAGCTGTAGTTTTTGTTAACTGCCATACGCTGAGCAAATGGCGTGTTAAGTTTTCCCTTTCTCTTTGTGTTTTCTGCTTCACACTGAGCCTTTTCACGAAATCTGCACTGTGGTAGAATCCTGGCTGCATAAAGTGGCCGTTTGAGGAGATGAGCTGGATTAGGGGTGAAGAATCTCCAGCCCTGAGACAGTTTTAAAATAAATGAATAGAGCTCTTGCTCTTCGCTCTGTCGAGCAAGGAAACTTCCAGTCCTGTCCCCTTCTTTGCAATCTGTCTTCAATTTACAAGGAGATGCTTTCCAGTTTTTCAGACATGGAGCTGTTTTAACGGGGCGTGTCTTGGCTCGTCCTAAGCTCCAGTTGTGTGAGTTTGTCTCGAGGCTTCACATGTTTGCTCCTCCTTGGTGTGGAGCCCACAAGCCAGACATGTGTTCTGGGATACTTTCGAGAGCATCTCTCGCTGGCCGTCTCACTCCTCCTCTGCTGGGGGCAGTAACACATTGACCAGCCAGCCCCTTTCCAACCTGCAGCCCTGCTAAAAGTAGCACAGAGAAAGCCCCTGCCTGCTTGTGTTCTCGATTTTGGAGTCCCAGCATTTGTGACTTAGGTGGTGGCCGAGGCTCAGGTTTTGGAGAAGGCACTTTCTGAAGCATAGCTCTGAGGACGCACTGTGGGGTGTGTGGGTGT